AGTAGTCTTTTGTTTTGCTGAACGAGGAAAAGGAAGACAAAATGGTGGTAGTTTTGTGTAGGGTCGATTGCGATCTTCGGTTTGTATCAAAAGCACGTCTCACAAATGAAATTTTTTTTTTTCGAGCGATATTTTGATAGCAATTAAACAAATTTCAATCGTTGGCTTATGTAAGGGCTGGATCACTTACTTTCAAGGGCTCAAAGTCCGGACGAACATTAAACTACGATGTTTTCATTTATCTGTTCTAGGTGTGTTGTACAGACTTTTTAGTTGTACTATTTTGATGATTTAATTTCAAGAATCTGTCAAGGAAACAATAGGTTTAATTTTATAGCAGATTTTACTTGTCAAGAAAATCAAAGCAAAAATTATTCAACTGCAGACGAGACAAACCCCGACCTCTAGAAATACCTCATTCATAGAGTGCCTCATTAGTGCTCTTTGTTTACAAGTATAGTGTCCTTGCATGTTTTTCAAAATGCCCATAACAAAATCATATGTTTTCATATACAGTATGTCATAGATTCTCAAACGTCTTGATCAATTTTATTGATGGATTGACCTACATGCAATTACATTCACTTACTAGGCAAAGCCTATACCTTTATAATACATGCTCTGATCACACAGGAGCTATTTACAGTTTAACTTTGATTAAAAAAATAAAATTGGACCAAGAAACCGCCCAGGGCAATTTTTCGGCAGGTGTTATTTTAATCTTTTCTGATGCCTAAAAGTTTCGCCGTAGTCATTGATGCCCATGCAAGAGTATTGATGTTTATTGCGACTAGCGTGAATGGGTTAGCTTCGTTTTGACAATGAGCTGTTATCGCTGTAAACAATGTTAAATTATTCTTCAAATGCTCAGTTTATCTTTTGAAAACAACTATTTTTTTTTATTTAAAAACAAATCATGCCACTTTCCCATCAAAATTCAAGCCAAAAGATTGTACAACAACATCGGCAAATCTCTTCCGTGCTGCGTTCAATAACATTAACATATTTAAATGAGCTATGATAATTTGAACACGTTGGCATCATCCATCATTTTCATTGAACCCCAAATAAGGGCCCACCAGCCGTGAAACTGCCCAGGGCAATTTTGCGGATGGGCGAATTTACCGCAGAATCCGGTACATGTACTGCAAAACATTTCGCTTTCTGGAATTTTTATGATAGTCAAAATTTTGATGTGTTGATTCGGGAACACACAAAACATCAAAGAAACCAGAGAGCTTTCACGTTTAACTTCCTATTTATTCTGCCATTTCCATTTACACCAATGGCACTACTTTTTACATATCAATACACTTGAGTG